ATCTATCTAGTAAAAAATATTATGATCGGGCTATTAATATTTTAGCAGATTTTCCATGTACCGTTTATTAACATCATCATCATCATTACAGCCTTTCATAAGTCCACTGCGGAACATAGGCCTCCCCCAAGGAAAGCCACAAAGCACGGTCCTCAGCCATCTGCATCCATCGACTTCCCGCATATCTTACCAGGTCGTCCCTCCGTCTAGTAGGGGGTCGCCCTACACTGCGCCTACTGGTACGAGGCTGCCACTCGAGAACCTTTCTTCCCCATCGGTTGTCGGTTCTTCGAGCTATATGGCCGGCCCACTGCCACTTCAGCTTACTAATCCGTTGGGCTATGTCGGTTACTCTGGTTCTACTGCGGATATCCTCATTTCTAAGTTTATCACGTAGAGAAACCCCGAGCATAGCCCTCTCCATAGCTCGCTGAGCGACCATGAGCTTCCTCATACGGCCAGCAGTGAAGGACCACGTCTCAGATCCGTAAGTCATCACTGGCAACACACACTGGTTGTACAATTTCGTTTTCAGGTTTTGAGGTATGTCTAAATGGCGGCTCTTCACGTTGGCCAACATAGTGGCGAATGTGTTGGCAGAGATATTGGCCAAGAATTTGTGATCGCGTCCACACGTTGGAAGGTCGTTCAGTTTGCTTTGGTTCAGGCCAATGTGCGGACGAATTTATTAAAATGATTATTGATGCGCTAACGGCTGCTGCGCTGCTGCTGCTTTATTTATTAACAGCATACCACTTTTTTTTTTTTTTTTTTTTTTTTATAGGATAGGGTGACAAACGAGCACACAGTCCACCTGATGGTAAGTGGTTACTGTGACCCATAGACATCTACATCTATCCTCAATAAAGACTCAAGATGCAGATGCGTTGTCGCCCGTGAGGACTAAGATGGAAGGCCTCTTTGCCAGTAAAAAGGGTCTCCGGTTCTCTACACTCACCATACGAAACACAGCAGCGTTAAGCTGCTATTTTACGCTGGTTTTCTGTGAGAGCGTGGTCCTTCCCCGGTCGAGCCGACCCATTCGTGCTACAACTATACTACTAATATAGCTGCAGCATGGCTCTACCACGTAAAAACTATAACGTAAATGTGTATAAGATAATTTAAAATTAAAAATTTTGTACAGCTGACTTCAATATAAGTTACTTAAGAATAACTCAATAACCATTAGTCTGACCTTGATCAAATTCATATGGGACTACACAAAAACTATCAGCTTTCATATAAAAAAAGAATCATCGAAATCGGTTCACCCAGTACAAAGTTATGAGGTAACACACATTAAAAAAACATACAGTCGAATTGAGTACCGTCTACTTTTTGGAAGTCGGCAGAAAAGGCTGCTCGAAAAGAAATGGAAAAAAAGAAATTTTATTTCTTGACGACTCCGTGGCGTAGTGGCTTAGCAATTAGTTGCACCGTGGGGGCCGCGGGTTCGAATCCCGCACGGAACAAGTATTTGTATGGCCTGCAAATAATTACTCCGCGTCTGGATGTTTATCCTTATCCAGAAACAGAAACAGAGAAACAGAAACTTTTATATTCAATGTAGATTATAAATAATACTTATAGCCCATGTGTCTTGCCTCGGCATTGCTCGTCGTGGCTCGCTTAGTTGGCCTACTGCAGACGAGCGCTCTTTCTGGATCGCTCACTACGACTCCTCTCACTTCGGACAGTGTCCGTTTTTCTGCACAAATCAAAGGCGCTCGCCTGCACTCGACTTGCCGTGTTCACATGTTAAATTGGCCATGTCAGTATGATCACTCTTTCAAAGTCACTCTTTTGTTTGATTACCCCTGGTTCGGAAAAAACCTCTGTCCTGGGAAGAACCAGCAAGAAACCCAGCGGGACTTTTTTTTTAAATAACAGCTTACAATCATGATATTACACAAATTAACAACACAACAAATTAGAAATAGCTTGGTAGCGATCACCTCATTTCCAGGGGTTATTATCATCCATAAATTCCTTAATATTATAATAACCCTTTTTATACAAACTTAGTTTAATAAAGTTTTTGAACTTTGAGCAGGTCAAACTTTGTATATTTTCTGGAATTTTGTTGTAAAAGCGTATACATCACCCCAAGAATGAATTACTGACTCGATGGAATCGAGTAACTGGTACTACTAGCTTGTCTGTTCCTAGTATTTACAGAATAAACATCACTTATTTTTGTAAAACTACTTTTATTTTTGTGTACGTACATTACATTTTCATAAATGTATTGAGAGGCCAAAGTTAATATATTAATTTCCTTAAATTTTTGTCGCATCGACTCTTTAGGCTTTAAATCATGAATTGCTCTTATGGCCCTCTTCTGTAAAACAAATATAATTTCAGTGTCAGCTGCGTGTCCCCATAGCAAAATACCATACGACATTATGCTATGGAAATAGCTAAAGTAAACTAGTCTAGCTGTTTCAACACTGGTTAGACTTCTAATCTTTTTTACAGCATATGCTGCAGAACTATTTGTAAACTACCTCTACGATAAATCCTAGTGTGGGGGTGACGTTTATTTTAAAAAAGACTTGAAAAACTTATGTTTCACAAACAATTTCCTGCTTGGTAGGGCTCTATAAAGAGAAAAGTTTTTTCATTGGTCATTGTTACTGCCATTACGTAGGTGCGTGCGATCACTCTGGGAGCTCGTAGCAAACTGAACGGGCGCCCAACGTGTGGACGCGACGGCCAATACTCTGCCACAACCCTTTGATCTTTTGCAAGAAACCGACACCACACGGATCTCGCGCCAACTTGTGGGCCATCGTTCCAATACATACCAACGTAGCTTAAACACCCGCTCTACAAGATGGCAATCGTTGTTGGCCAACACATTCGCCAGTATGTTGGCCAACGTGAAGAGCCGCCGTAACGAGATGTGTCGTAGTTTCCCGAACGCTGCCCAGCCGAGTTGAATCCGTCGATTGACCTCTCGGTCGAAGTTGGACTTACCTAGTCGGACTATTTGTCCCAGGTAATTATACTAGTCAACAACTTCGAGCTTAGTGCTCCCAACAACTACCGGCATAGGTGTGACATGGACTTAACATGATTTCTGTTTTGTCAATGTTCATCTTAAGACCTATCCGTTAGGAGACACTATTGAGGTCAATGAGCATAGTGCTTAGGTCCTCCAGCGATTCTGCCATAAGGACTATATCGTCGGCAATTTGAAAGTGAGTGATATTAATACCGTATCCTTTCCAGACCAGTAGCTTTAATAAGTCTTCCAATGTAGCGGTGAAGAGTTTCGGGGATATGACATCACCTCTCTGCAGTTGGATAGGTTTCGTACTCTGATTCTGTACTCGGATAGCCATCGTAGCTCTACTGTACAAATACTACAGTTGCTGATGTGGTACTTCAGGGTATGAAACTTTTTATTCCATCCTCTGTGGTGTCCATCGGAGGCAGATCCCGGCCTTGGTTTGGTCGCTCCTGTAAAATAGCATCACGCTATCAGTAGGAGTGCTACCGGACCTGAGCTGTCTGTCTTACACCTCTCTGCAGTTGAATAGGTTTGGTACTCTGGTTCCGTACTCGACTAGCCATCGTAGCTCTACTGTACAAACATTTCAACACTTCGATATACCGACAGTCAACTTGGCATCGCTGAAGGGACTGCAGCACCGCCCAAATTTCGACGAAATCAAAGGCTTTCTCATATTCCACATACGCAAGGCAAAGTACCGTTTATAATAAAGCGTTATAACCACAATGCTGTGCAATTTACAAACAAAACAAAATTTTATCCAAATCGTTGGAGCCGCTTCCGGGCAAGTTCTATTTTTATGAGGTATTTACATATAGTATTCTCATCTGGTTGGGCTGTATAAGTATATAAAAGAAAATGATAATATATTTTATATGAATATAGATTAGAGTGGAGTTAATAATAAAACATGAAAGACATCTTTCATGCGACGTACAGTTAAAACTCAAACAGGTCAACAGTCTAAAATTCTCGTCAAGACAAATCATAAGAGCCCGAAAGCTACAAAAAATTGCTATATCTTCGAGACATCCCCACGAATGCCTTCATATAGATAAGCTTAAGCTTACCGTACCGTAATGTTGTTAATTCATGTAAACTACGTCTATGTGCCAAGTTTCATTAGAATCGATTAAGCGGATATTAAATCAAAAATAATTAAGGTGAAAATCAAAAACTACTTAAGAGTGCAATATGAAACTACTTCACTTATTTACCACCTTTGGTGGCGAAATATTTTCTTAAAAGTATATAGAACCACCATAGAGGGTAGAGGCAAAGGCTATTTAATAAATAAAGAATCATTAATATCGATTTACAATCTGCAAAGATATGATATAAAATTCGTTCAACAAAAGTCCAATATGAAACTTTTTACCCTATTTTTCATCCTTTGCGACGAAATTTTTTAGAAAAAGATTTCAATGATTCTTTGCAAAAAAAGAGTCGGTTTACATTCTGCGAATAAACATACTAAAAGGGATGGCACAAGGGATTAATATTTGAAGTAAAATATCTGATATGCGAGTATATTAATCATTTATTCAACATTTTCTGTTTAAAATATACGCAAATAAACATTTGATGAAATAGTGTTTTACTTTTAGCACAGAATACTTATAGTACGGGGCAGTTTTAGTTCAATACACATTAATTATTAATCTTCTTTTGCATGAAAGTGACAATCATTAAGCACATCGTTCAAAATTCCCCATCATGTCATCGTCATAGACATTTAATTCCTTTTCTGTACTGAATACAATATAACCAACAGAAACATACTCAAATTATATTCACGGTCTTCTGAGCGCGCGAAGACCTATCAATAATCCAAGTTCACAGTAAAATCGTGTAAACTTATGGGTATAGAAAAAGAAGGTTTAGTTTGTTATTAAGTTATTATATAATATATATTACACTAAGTATTACATTCCAAGTATTAATAGTAACTTAATCTAAGATACGAGGCTTAATCTCCTTAAATACTTCGCCTGAAGATATTTTCCAAGATTTTAAAGAACAAGTCATGTGGTAGCCCTCTTGTCACTTGCTGAATTTGTGTCCTAAGGAGATCGTATGTGGCTTCTTCGTACACTGAGTATGTATGCGGAAGTTGTAAATCTTCATAGAGATCTTTGACTTTTGCAACATCTTCTGGTTTAGAACTGCCATAATATTCTTCCATGATTTGTCTTTGAGCTGGTGTTGCCCTTTGTAGAGCCACTACAGCAAGCCAAGTGCATTTACCATCTTGAATATCGCAGCTATTTTTGTCGATAACTGCTGGGTCACCAAAGCAGTTAAGGAAGTCATTCTGAAACAAATGTAAATGTTATATTTATTATTAAATTATAGTAGACATTAAAATAGGGTTTCTGTAAATAATAACGTAGTATGGTTTTTCATATAACCTCCCGTTATACTTTAAATTCTCATGGTACAACCGACATTTAATAGAAGTCACAGACATTTAAGTAGTAGTAATAGACCAGCGAAATCGACTCGGATTCGATAACTTCTCGCACCGAAACCAATAAACGCTATTCACATTTAACGTTCGGATAAAGGTCACTTAGATACATCCTATAACTATTGTATCGTCATTTAGTTACATGCATTTACGAATTTTGTAGATAAATAGGCTTTTGTATTTTTTTAGAGTACCGCCTGAACAAAACCATAATGCAATATTTTGGAGTTAGCCATTGATATCAGTTTCAGTCTCAGTTTTTTGTTATTTATTATATAGTTAAATTATATATTTTTTATATTCGATATCAATGGCTAACACCAAAATATTGCATTATGTTCTTGTTCAGGCGTTACTCTAAAAAAATACAAGTCTATTTATCTACAAAATATCCGAATGTTAAATGTGAATAGCGTTTATTGGTTTCGGTGCGAGAAGTTATAGAATCAGAGTCGATTTCGCTTTCCGAGACGATTGTGAATAGCCCGGCTGATATCAGCAACAAAATGGTCACGTCTTACTTACATCCTATAGGATATATTTTGGATTTGTATCATTCAGTCTTAGTGACATCATCAAAAACTCAAAACGCATTCGTTTCCTAAATTTAAAAAAATTTTTTTAAAGAAAATATGTTCAATTGTGCATTAAGGTATTATAAGTCCCGATATATTGCAAAAACTGCATGTGATTTCGGTTTATTATCGCAAGTATAATGTATAATTACCCCATAATTATTAATTTTTATTGTTTCTGGTAGATTGTTCGAGAACATTTCTCATTATTGTAATAAGCGCCCTCTGTTATCCAGTAACGTCACCAAAGAGTTAGTGATTGGCAACGTTTATCGATAGGTGCTATCGATAAAAAATATAATACAGGATGCAGATTTAATCACCTACAATATTTAAGGAGGTGAAACAGTAAGCGATACTGTACCCATACCAATAAAGAAATCGGGTGGGCCTGTGTTCCTGCAGATTAAGGCATCGGAACCGGTTTTTCCCGGTTCCAAAAGAACCGGGAATTCCCGGTTTCAGGAGTCACGAAAAGAACCGGTTCCAAAAATTTAAAACCCGGTTCTTTCGGTTCCTTTACAAAGTTTCTTAAAAAGTATATCACTGCAATGTAGTGTTATAAAAAACGTGATTATTAATCATTTCTTCTATTTATACAGCAAACAGTAGGATTTGTAATAATATGGTAAAAATTTTCAAGGCTTCCCCCACTAAAAGTGACGAAATCTTCAAAAGCATATCATAGCTGATTTTGGACAAGAATATTGTTTGTTTTTAGATGTAAATACACGCTGGAGCAGCATAGTCGCGAAGTTAAGCCGATTTCTGAAGTTAAAAACGATCTCAAAAGCATTAATTGATTTCAAATCTGATATTGTAGGTCTCAGTAGGACTCAGGAAGACTGGACAAACATAGAAGAGTTAAATAAGATATTGGATGTTATTAAAACTATCGTAGAAGCTCTATTCCGTCGCGATACAACATTGATTACAGCCGATGTTTCTTTAAAATTTGCTATAAAAAAATTCGTTCAAATTAATACTTATCTTAGTAATAAAATGGTCACCTCATTGCGAAAACAATATAAAAAACATGCAAGCATCAATATTGCGATACTTAACCAACCCTGACAGTCATTTTGCCAGTATGGACGATGCAAATATCTTTTTCGGTCTACAAATGATGAAATGTTACACGGAATTGAAAATTTTTACGTGGTATAGCCATGCTGCTGCTATATTACTGGTATAGTATAGCACGAATGGGTTGGTTCGAAAGGGGTAGGACCACGCTCTCACAGAATACGCTGCTGCGTATGGTGAGTGTAGAAAACCGGATCCCCTTGATACTGGAAACGAGGCATTCAATCTTAGTCCTCACGTGTGACAACGCATCGGCATTTTGATTCGTCATCGAGGATAGATGTAGATGTCTATGGGCTACAACAACCACTTACCATCAGGTGCACTGTGTGTTCGCTTGTCATCCTCATTTTATAAACAAAATCGCACGAAAGCTAGACAAAAAGTATCCCTTGAATAAACAGCAATTGGAAGTCAAAATCTGCAGGAAGTTGAATTACATGAATCCCCCTAACAAATGAAGAGGAATTTAATAGAGAGCTGTCTAAGGCTGTTAATACTGCCACTGAATTGACAGATCAAGAAAATGACTTAAATTGATTGAAATTATAATTGAGTTGAAATGGCTCTATATGAAAATGATGGGCAAAGACAACGAGTACTACTTATCGATAGGTATAACATTTAAAAACTATTTCGCCCACCAGTGTAGAGCCAGAGCGAATATTGTCTTCTTCTGCTATAGGCTGCGCTCGTCTTTGAGTGATAAAAATTTGCAGGCATTAATTTTTCTAGGTTATTTTTTATTTAAGTAAAATTAAGAAGTAATGTTTAATTAAAACTATTTTTTTCATAAGTGAGCTGATTCATGTTTTGTTTGCCCATCGTAGGCAGATCCCAGCCATGTTTTGGTTGCTCCTGTAAAATAGAATCACGCTATCAGCAGGAGTGCTACCGGGCCTGGGCTGTCTGTCTTACACCTCTCTGCAGTTGAATAGGTTTGGTACTCTGGTTCCGTACTCGAATAGCCATCGTAGCTCTACTGTACAAACATTTCAACACTTCGATATACCTACAGTCAACTTGGCAGCGCTGAAGGGACTGCAGCACTGCCCCAATTTCGACGGCATCAAAGGCTTTCTCATAGTTCACATACGCAATACAAAGTGGCAGATTGTACTATTTCACGTCTTTTGTACAATTTTCCGAAGGGTATGTATACCATATACCATGGTGCTAAAACCTTTTTGGAAACCGGATTGTGCGGGAGGCTGGAAGTCATAGAATTTGCGTGCGAGACGATTCGTAATCTCTCTCGAAAACAGCACGTAGACGCGGCTCAGAAGGGAAATCGGTCTGTAGTTCTTCAAGAGAGCGTTGTCGCCTTCCTTGAAGAACAAGACCACCGCAATTCTGCTCAACGCTTTCTAAGTAGTGCCACTGAATTAAACAGCTCCTGAAGGACTTCAAGTACCTGTTTTCCATTCACTTTCAGAAGCTCCGCTGTAATTCCATCCTCGCCCAGGGATTTGTCGTTTTTAAGGTGCTAATCTCGCTCAGACTGACGTCCGGGATATCATTAGAATAGTGTCGGATAAGACTTGCTCTTGGGTCGTTATTAACACTTGCGTGTGGCTCCAATTATAACGTGTACAGCTGCCCATAGAACCTCTCAATCTCGCTCAAAATCTCAGGTGTCCCGGAGACGATGCTGCCACATTCGGTCTTCAGCTTCGACGGTTGGTTCTTTCTGGCAGACAGATCTCTGGCAAAGACTTTGGAGCCCTGGTTCAGCTCGATCGCTTCTACAATACGAGCAGTAATAAAGTTGCGTAAGTCCCGCCGCATGCATTTGGAGATTAGTGTCGTTGCTCATGGGGGGTATACTGCCATAGTTGCCATGCTTAGCGAGCGCGTTGGCAACCGCAGTTTTATTATTGCTTTTTGCTTTTATCAGAAAGATGCTGCTGCCCATCTTCTGTCTTAAATGTGGATGAATAAAAATTTGTAGTTAGACTTGAAATTAAAAACTAATAAATACGTGTTACAGTAATTTTTTTTTTATTCTACCCTTAAGGCGACAGAATTAAAGTTGAAATATTGTTTGAAATTAATGTTTGTGAATGTTTTAATTACCTTTATCTTTGGCAACCCTATTATAAGTCTTCGATTACAAACTTAGTAACACGTAATTAGGGATTTTTGGATATTCCACCCCTAACAGTAACGTAAGGCATGAAATTTATTATAAAATTGTAAACTATTTTGATGCGGTTTTCAATTAATCAATATATTATTTATTGTACCTAAACCTATACATATTGAAACAAAAACAAAATTTAATAAATATGAAAGGTCCAAATATAAAATAAGCGACTTTATCGCTCTGGATATTAAAAGAAATTAATAAGAACATTAGATGATGATATGAAGTATGATGGGAATTATAAAAGTTCCAAGTAATAAGCTCCAACTAGATTATTGAAGGAAAAAATTCATTGAAGAAGGAGAATCAACGTACGAGATTACGATGAGGCAGTTTGTTAAATTGGTTTTTATGAAAAAAATTTTAACATCGAGGAAAGTAAACAAAATGATATAGTGTATGCCCACAGTAGTGAAGAATCCAGCACGCGTATTCCGAGAGTTCAACGAGCACATTATCCTTCGTCACTCATGGTTTGGCTTGGAGTCTCATATTCAGACTTAACTTAGGTGTTTTTCTGTGGAAAAGGTGTAAAAACCAGTTCCGAGGTGTACCAAAATACCGTCCTAACAAACATAGTGGAACCTCTTTCTCAAACAATGTTCAAACACAGACATTGGATATTACAACAGGACTCTGCACCAGCTCATAGGGCACGAAGCACGCAAAACTGGTTGACCACCCATGGAATTGACTTAATCGGACATGAAGACTGGTCCTCTTCTAGTCCAGATTTAAGCCCACTGGATTATAAAATATGGCAACACTTGGAGGAAGGAGAAAGTCTGCGCTAAACCCCATCAGAATTTTGAATCTCCTATATATATATATATATATATATATCGTCCTCCCTCCGTGTATTTCCCTATCCCCCGCGTATACATTTCGTTTTAGTCACTCAAGCTTTTGTTTTAATTACGCACGTGAAGATTCAATATTGACTAGGGATAATTTTATTCAAAGAAATAGAAAACGAAGTAAAGACTCGGGAGAAAGCAGTAAAGAAACTTCAGAAAAACGGAAGAAGTATAGAAAATATGACGACCAATATTTGGATATCGGATTTACCTACATTACTAAAGGGAACGTAGAACTTCCTCAATGTGTTGTTTGTCATAAAGTGTTGGCAGCTGAAAGTATTTTTCCTAATAAATTAAAACGTCATTTGGAAACAACACACAGTAATTTAAAAGGTAAGCCGAGAGACTTTTGTGTTAGAAAATTGCGACATCTTTTTGAAAATTGTGAAAACTGAAACATCAGTCCACGGCTTTGCTTTCAAGAGCATCAGTTCTTACCAAAGCATTGCTTGCCTCCTACAAGTTAGCTCACCGTGTTGCCAAATGTAAGAAGCCACATACAATTGCTGAGGAACTGATTTTACCTGCAGCGGTTGATATGGTACCGGTGATGATTGGAGAATTAGCGGTTAAAGAAATAAAATATGTACCTCTTTCAAACAATACGATTAGCCGCCGTATTCACGACATGGCAGAAGATATTAATGAGCGAATTGTGGAAAAACTTTCAGGCTTATTTGCCATTCAACTGGATGAAGCGACGGATAGTAATGACGATGCTCAATTGGTAAGTTACGTGCGGTACATACAAGAAACAAATGTGTGTGAGGATTCGTTATTTTGCAGAAAAATATGTGAAAGTGGTAAGGCTACTGATCTATTTGAGATCTTAAATACATACATGATCGGAAATAATGTTAAATGGGAGAACTGTGTGGGTGTGTGTACGAATGGTGCTCAAGCGATGTCTGGACAGTATGGAGGACTACAAGTTCTCATCAAAACCAAAGCTCCAAATGTAAAATGGACACAGTGTCATACATAGAGGGACTTTAGCTGCAAAGAATATTACACCTGAATTAAATTTTGTGATGGATATAATAATAAAAGTGGTGAACTACATTAATACACGACTTGTGAAAGCGAGATTTTTCCATCAGCTTTGTGGAGAATTGGGTGAAATTGAAAAATACTTCTTTAATTTATTATTGCAACTCTCGTTGGCTGTCCAAAGGCAATGTACTCGCACATGTATACGAACTACAAAATGAGGTTTATACTTATCTACAGAGAGAATCACACAATGATGCGCAAAACTTTATTAATACAGAGTTTACAATAAAATTGGCATATCTCTGTGACATATTTCAGAAATTATGATCTTAATAAGTCCTTGCAGGAAAACAAATACTCACATACTGCAACTGGCAGATAAAATCACTGGGTTTCAGAAGAAGTTGCTCTTATGGAAGAGAAAATTAGAAAATCATGTACATACTGACTGTTTCCATGCTTTACAATGCATTCTACAAGAAAACTCGATAGAAAGCCTTGATCTCTCTCTAAAACTAATATTTACACAGCAGTTGTCATCATTAAGTGAACATTTTGAAAACTATTTTCCCGAAAATCTGGAGCAATATGACTGGGTTAGAAACCCTTTTCAGTCGACCTGACCATCAACACTTTTGACAAAGGAAGAAGAACAATTAATAGAATTGTCCTGTGACTCGAGCCTTAAGCTCCAATACGACAAAGACAAACTGCTTGAATTTTGGAGCTCAGTTTCTCACGCATATTGCGCCATCTGCTATGCAGCATTGAGGGTTCTATTACCATTTGCGACATCATACTTGTGCGAAACAGGCTTTTCTGCAGTTGCAGTAATAAAGAACAAGTACAGATCGAAAATAAATGTAGAGAAAGAGATGAGAGTGGCAATTTTCAAACTTGAGCCACGTTTTGAGAAGCTATGCTCAGAAAAGCAAGCACATCCTTCTCATTAGTAGCCAGCCAACAAAGTATCTCTTTTCATTTTTGTTTTTGTTTTTTTTTCTTATTATTTAATAAAAATTATAAATGTTATTTGGAGTTTTTCTGGTATCTTGTTACTAGGCTAGAACTACAACTGGTAGGTATTTTTGGCCAGAGGAGGGGTCGCAATAATCGTCGCAATAAAGTGGCAAATTCCCAAGGGCGTCACAGTAAAAATAAGTTTGGGAAGCCCTGGCTCAATGCATTAGTTTTTGCTTGTTGGATACACTATAAATTAAAATATAATAAAACCAAAAAAATATTTACCTGAATTTGGAAGAACTCTCCCATTGCCAAAAGAATGGTCTTAGCCTGTCTGTGAGTCTCTGGATCGTCGACTCCAGACATTAAAAGTGCCAGTCCTACAGGCATTTGGAATGTATAATATGCTGTTTTATACTTGGTAATTGCTTCGTATTTCTCCATTGTGAACTGTGAGAGGTCTGGTTTATCCGTTGTTAACAGTTGCTTCTCCAAATAATGACCGATTGAACATTTTAGCAACATCTGTTGAAATATAATATTCTATTAATATATCTATACAAAGATTTAATAAATAGATATCTATAAAAAAATGTTGTTTCTAATTTTTAAAATATTTAAAGCTTTGCCTTCAAATTTGATAATGGCAAACAATTCGAGCTCGTTCCCCGTTAGCACAAATGAAATTATTAACTGCAATTTTTTTTAAACTGATACATTAAGTGTTCGGCGGTGAAAAAAAAAACAATAAACATCGAGACCTGCATGTCTGACAAACGAAATAAACATTTTAAAAACAAGTGAAATCGCAGCGGTGCGGCTGCCCCATTACGTCTAATTCGCTTGCGCCTGGTTCTAAACCCTTACAGGAATTAGAGGTGCTCAGCTGAGGAACATATACACAGGGTTATTTTGCAATAACCGGCCAAATTTGCAGAGAATGTTTAGAAAAAGTAATATAGGCAAATAGTGAAAAAAAATATCTCAAGCATTCTGTCCTTTTTATCTTTAAATTCAAAATACGTGGTAATGCAATATTTTAACTGATTTTACTGCGCACGCGCACATTCGTAAGGGTCGATCGGTAGGCAAAAACGTTGTTGCCCATAGATTCAATTTGTGACAATTTCAAATAAAAGTAGAATCCTTATTTACTCGTATTTCGAAAAACTGCAATAACAGTATACCTATCATTATTTGACCTTAAGTTTAAAATTTAGCCACTTTGAAAAATAACCCCGTATTACGTATATATTATAGTATATTGTTACTTTATACTCGTAGTTTAAACTACAGTCATAGTCATAAGAACACTTCTCTCACCTCGTTGAACATTTCCAAAACATTTTTATAGTAAGATTTAGTAGAAAAATTGCGTTTTAAAGTTGAATACATGGCGGATTGCACAAAAGTAGCGTCATTAATGCCGCTCAAGCCAACATCAGGACGTCGATGCCAGCATGGCACACCACGGCGCATATTCGAACTCTCCATGATGTCATTTAGAAGAAGTTGATGTGTATGAAACTGAAATAGTAAAATAATAATTTAATATTTAAGTACATACTAATTTAATTATTTTTGTAGTTTATATTTAGTATTAATTTATATAATATATTTTATGTAATTATCGTAGCTGTCATTATTATATATTGTATTAGATTTTTAATATAATTTACATAACATTACATAATGTTATGTAAATTATTCATAAATATTATTTATTCATTAGTAGTAATAATGTACGCACTAAGTTCGCATTTTTATTATATTGTCCTTTATATTCCTAAAATATCTTCCAGTAGACCTTAGAAGACATTTCAGCAAATTATGGAATAAGTACCTAGAACCTTTGTACGAACTCACTATATGACTGTTTTTGTATCTTGTTGAGAGTACATAAATAAATTTAAAAAAAAATTATTCAAATTTGCGAAAATATTTGTTATACTTTTTCTTCTAGCTTCTTCTTTATTGGCCCATCAAATTATTTTGCTGGAGATAGGCCTCTCCCGTAGTATGGAGGATTTTCCTTGATCGTCACGCTTGGCAGGTATATTCCACCTCGTAGTATCACCTTCGACGCCTCACTGGTCTAGGTATATTGTTTAATGTAAACAATACGTCATCTATCGGAAGCTATAAGATTTGTCTGGCATTCCCATAGTCGCCTCTTACATTTCACCCACGGGACGAAATTGGGTAACAGATTTTCCGTTGCGTGGTGGCGGCGTAAGAAATCTGTAACACTATTTTGAATGAATTTGAAAGGCAATCATACTATACCCCTGCAAGAACTATACTGAGAACTGAACCGAAACTGAGAACGCACCCTTGTCGAATAACGAATAATGAAATTATTCCCATAATGTAACAACTTCTAAATTTGCATACACGAAAAAGGGTTAAGTGTTTTCTTATATTTACGCGAATACTACACATTGAATAAAACTATTTTTACTGATGCTATCTATCTACGTAGATCTACGCAGAACGAGCTTAGATCGCACCAAAAATTAATTTTCAATAACTGAAGCTAGTCGGGCTAACTATGAAAAGATACGACAAAGGGACGTAAAACATCTCAGTCCACCCATCAGCACATCGGCAGAATTGGCGAGAAGCTCGTTCGCCTTCCTTCGGGAACCCGTGCATTCTGGTCTCTCGTCAAGGCTATCCAAGGGAACTTCTGTCAGCCATCTCTTCCATCTATGCAAAGGAGAAAGCCGATCTGTTGAGCTCTCTCTTTGCGTCCAACTCGACTCTAGATGACGGGGGGGACACACCGCCGGCCATCCCGCGATGTGAGCGCTCCATGCCGGATGTGCGGTTTACACAGCGCTCGGTTCGCAAAGCACTCTTCTCCCTGGACGTCAGCAAGTCAATTGGGCCCGATGGAGTCCCTCCCATTGTGCTGAAGACGTGTGCTCCGGAGTTGGCACGCGTCTTTTCCGGTACTCCTACTCCCAAGGCGTAGTCCCGAATTCATGGAAGACAGCTTTGGTCCACCCGATCCCTAAAAAAGGCGACCGCTCAGACCCGTCCAACTACAGGCCTATCGCCATCACCTCCTTATTCTCCAAAATAATGGAATCCATTATAAACTGCCAGCTCATAAGGTACCTTGAGGATCACCAGCTGATTAGTGACCGCCAGTACGGTTTTCGTCGAAGTCGATCAGCTGGTGATCTTCTGGTCTACATGACTCATAGATGGGCGGAGGCAGTAGGGTCCAAGGAGGAGGCATTGGCCGTTAGTTTGGACATAGCGAAGGCCTTCGATCGGGTCTGGCACAAAGCGCTTCTTTCGAAGCTTCCTTCCTATGGGCTTTGCGAGAAATTATGCAAATGGATCACCAGTTTCCTTGCTGATCGGAGCATCAAGGTCGTAGTAGACGGTGCAGCCTATCAACGCTGGTGTTCCACAAGGCTGCGTGCTATCACCAACGCTGTTTCTCCTGCATATCAATGATATGTTGCAAACTGGTAACATTCATTGCTATGCAGACGACAGCACTGGTGATGCCTTATATACCGGCCGTGCTAATATTTCTTGGGAAAACGTTGCAGAGTACAAGGACAAACTTGTGTCTGAAGTCGAGTCTTTGCTGACCAAAGACTTGGATTGGGGGCGACTAAGTCTAGTCCATTTCAATTCCCAGAAGACATAAGATTACGCGTTTACCGCTAAAAAGAACCCCTTTGTCGTATCTCTTCAGTTTCAAGGCAATCCCCTTGCTGCCTCAGCTAGCCTCGGAATTCTCGGCGTCAAAATATCGAATAGTATGGAGTTTCGTTTTCACTTGGAATCGAAGGCCAAATTGGCCTCTAAAAAGCTTGGCGTGCTCAGCACTTACTTATAACAAAAATACAAATTTTTAAAATTTTGTCTGTCTGTCTGTCTGTTTGTTCCGGCTAATCTCTGTGATGGCTGGACCGATTTTGACGGGACTTTTACTGGCAGATAGCTGATGTTATGAGGAGTAACTTAGGCTACTTTTATTTTAGAAAAATAATTAGGGTTCCGCGCAAAAAAAAATTAAAACCCTAAATTGAATGTATAGCTAGTTTAGTAATAAAATTTACTAATGATAATCTTTTCTTTAGGGTTAGATGCACCCATGATTTTATTTTATAAGCCCCCTGGAAAGTACTTAAATGGCTTCAGTTTCAGTCGCAACCGACATCCAACAAGTGTAAACAAATATTTCCATAAACCGGTTATAAATCGGACCTGACTTCTGACAAATAGAAAGTTCTCTCAGGATAGGGTTAAAGTCTGTACGGCCTTACTAATAATATGTTCATCAAATGATTAAAGAAATTGAGTAAAGAATATAAAGTTGTGTATAGTTTATCAAAAACTACATTCTGTACATTTTGATCTGCAGTGCAAAAAGTACATGAAAAACCATTTATTTATAATATAAAATACTGGTTCAACAACTTACGAACGGCTTACGTTGTTTCAATTTTAGTCAAGTGGACGAAGGCATGGTTTCAAATAAATACAGTAGGTACTTATAATTAAAACCGTAGATATGCACTGTGTTCACGTATTATAATAAAACTGATTGTAACAGAGATCGAACATTTGATGGCTTAAACGATAATACCTATATCAATATCATTTAAGCCAGACGATGATAAATAGATCCTGTTTTGTTTTGACATTGATACTAAAAACATCAAGTGATATAGTTTTCTGCGTACGTATAGGCGGACAGCGTATGATTGGTTGATTTAATAAATACGGAGATTAAATTAGATTGCACGGTTCTTTCAAAGGTTGTACCTTTATGTAGCTGTGATCAGCTTTTTTAATTTGATACATATACTGAACAGCACAAAATAAGACTTACATATACACTAGAATCTGAAATTAATATTTCTTAAGAACACAATTCTTAAAATACGGTATGTTCAACGTCGTTGTATCTGATTAAAAGGCTTCAAAACAAGCTCCAAGAAAACAAAATCATTAAGAAGGCATGCGTTTACTATGACAGCGATAAGTAGTTGCACTCAAAAATTAGTTGCAACTTAAAATATGGAAAAATTTTGTACATGAAGTTAGTGTAAAAAAAAAAAGATGTGACCATTTACTGCAAAAACTAAATTGAAATATGGAGGACCATAACGTGAGAATAGAAATATAAAAACTTAGTTTTATTTATTAAAATCCAAATGGATATGAATCTAAAAAATTTCTATTCAATGATACGGTGGGTAGGTATAATTGAGTAAACAAACAACGCTTAATCAAGTTGAAAACGAACCACATAAAGATGATTCTCTTGTTTAAAAAAGTAAGAAATGTTCATAAATAACAATAAAAAGTGCAAGCTTTTCAATCAAGAAAACTAAAAATGTTAGTTAATAATGGTAAAAAAATTTCGCAACTGTTTTGCCTTCTTATAACTTTATATTTTATGTTCGATGTAATACTTTTTGCCTTACTTGCAATTCTTTCATTTACACGTAAACATACTACTATAAACAAAATCGTACAACCTAAGTTTCAGCTAATTTATAAAGTTAAATCAGAATCTCTCTGATCTGAATTTTAAACAGTACTCCTAAAATAAGATAAATCTGCTAATACCTAAACAAATTTGACGATTACGTAAGAGTAGCCATAAGAATAATAGTATGACTGGTTTTTTATTGACACAACAACGACGGTCTAATTATAGATATATTTGTTTTTTTTTATATGCATCAAGGACAGACCAGTTTTTTTCAGTTTGTGTTACACGTGCTAATTCCAATTTGAAGGCCCAAATAAAAACTAAATCTATTTCATGACACGTATTACTAAAAAATAGGAAATTAAAGTAATTACCATTTCGGTGCACCAGCCCATTATGTTTCCCAAACGTATATTCTCTGGCGTCAAGTTTTCTGGCTTCTCCAATGTTTTGTAAGCAAGAACGGTCGCTAGTCCACGATTCTTTTTTCCATTCGGCACGTTGTATTGTAATAGCTGTAACAACCACAAATTGGGTTATTTCGTAGAGTTACAAACAAACTTTTTCGTTTCCTTTGACAAATTATCGGAATTGCCACTTGGTGTATAAATTAATTTGTTTAGTACCCAACCACCTCTACTATAAAAAGCGTCGTGAGTATGTGGGCAAATAATAAGTCTAGACAACTACGTTGTTCTCCAGCGGCATTCGATGATTCCATAAAATAAGTTTTCCGTGAACTCAATGAATGTTTGTTGAGCAAAAAGTAGAGATCTTTACAGAGTTTGATGATTAAATTCATTTTCTCTTTATCCCTTTGGTACACAAATATACCTAGTAACTACACTTTCGTGCACAAAACTTGTGGCTCTTTACTTAATATCTTTCGTGCACAAAACTTGTCGCTCTTTACTTTATTTTTAATTAATTTCCTTGAAATGATTTTTGAACTACGTTACGCTCCTTTTCGCTCAAATCGGAGAAATAGGTAGTATTATGATATTTGTAGTTCTAATGTTATTTTATTTATAAAAGCTATACGTAAAATTTTAAATCAGATGTATTAGATTACTATCAATTGATCAATGCTATAGAATATAGTGTAGCTTACTACCAAGTTCCCAAGTAAAGCCTGGTTTCAACTGGTTCGAAGACATGTTAATTACACAAATATATAGGTTCTACATTATTCTGTCTTAAGACTGACAAAAACAACATAGAACGTACCTTAGCCAACCACTTGCTGGCTTCCGGCACGTCAATATGCTTGCCAGTCTTTGTGAGGTCCCTCACGATGTCTGGAAAGCAAGCCATGAACTCCCGGGACTGGTCTTTGGAGACTGCCAGTCCTCGGGCTGCCAGTGGCATTTGCTGGGGCGTGAGAGTCGACAGGAATCTAAAGATAAAAAATTTATTTTGTGTTTGCTCAACATTTTTTGCTACCCATTAAGTGAAACTAAGTGTTTACTTGTGCACGTATTTAACGTTATCAGATATATTTTTACTTATTATAAGTTAGTGCTTGACTTCAATCCCACCTGGTGATAAGTGGTAACGAAGCCCTTAATGTTGGAGGTGGATTTACCAATCGCACTCTCTTAGCGTATCAGATAAGTGAATTAACTATCATTCGTGGCATTTAAATGTTAAATTAGAAATAAACAATTTGTACCCAGATAAAAATATCAAGTAAGTAAATTGTAAAAAGTATGTAAATTGACGCAAATTTGGAAAAATATAGTTAAAATACTGTTAGGTACGATTCAATTTTTTGATCAATAGTATGTTATACTATTGATTAAAAATTATTACTTGTAGTGTTCTTTACAATTGTATACAATTAATGTAGTGTTCGAAAAATAAATATATGTACTAACTTAATATCGGTTTGTCGAAAGACATTCTACGAGATCTCGTATTTGTTTCGTAAAATTCTTTGACAAAACAGTTCTTGAAACTGAAAATATCTTATAGTAGTAATAATAGAATAGAAAGTTATTTTTTTGCAAGCAACAACATAGCATTCATGTAACGAAATACCTTCAAGGGTCATACGTCTCTGTTACGCAAACTGCAGGGCGAGTTCACTGACCTGTGATATTTCTGCAACTTCAGCAACTTCTTAGGTACTCCCGTTTCTTCATTTTGCGGGGACTTATTTGCCGATTGATCGAGTCGTGGTGCCAATGCATCGGAATTTGTAACGCTGGTAGTCTTGCTTATTTGCCGGCGAATTTCATTTTTATATATTTGTAGAATCTTATCTAAACTTTTCTTTGTAGAATACATTTCTGATAATTAAAAATAGTATTGTACAAAATGAAATATGTAATGAAGGTGCGGTTAAGTATAAAAATTAATGGTTTATGAAAGCTTTATCAGGTTTTAAACACTTGATTAACAAAACGTCTGCTTAACATGAGAACGTGAAAACGACTGATTCTTTGTTATGTTTTGCTTTGCCCACAGCTCAGTCAGCTCACGCTACTTCAATTGCTTCGCTTCAATCTAAATAAGTTATAGAGCCGTATTAGGATTGTTTACTTTTCGCTACCGATATCGATATGTGAAAAAATGAGTTAGCGGTGGGCCATGGGCCTGGGGCTTGGGAAAAAAGTCAGCTTCCCGAATAAATTTTTAAATGATGCCAGTAAAAAAAACTGCAAATTAGTTCTTGCCTAATACTTTTAAAATATAATGAAAACTGTAGCAAAACTGTAACAAAACAAGACACACTTTTCCAAAGGTATAAGTATAAAAAAATGTTATTATCATTTTTAAATAACATAAAAGGACTTTAGAAGACTTTTACCGATTTTATATTTTTTATATATTCTTTTCAAATGCTTGTGAAAATTAGAGAAGGGAAATGTTGGTTTTTTAGTTCTAGTGGCCCCAGATGGCAACAACCCATACTATGCTGCTTATTTTATGTATACATGTACATAGATAAGCTGGCTACTCTATTCAATAAAATTGTTACATATACGAATCCCAAAGTTTAATTTGTATCGGAGTCTAAATAAAACAACAACATTAGACTTATGTTTATTCTATTAAATTTCGAAACTATGATAAAAAATGTAAATTATATTGTCCTCAAGTTCAAATTTCAGACGCATTGGCCTATCCTAACGGAGACTAGTCATATGCGCAGGACCGGATTATTAGGCAGCGTATGCGCATTCTCTATTTCCTCACTCTCATCTGATAGGATAGGACCGGAGGGAGATTCAGAGACCAACGGCGTTACGTGTTTCCGAGGCATGGGGTTCAAGTACAGATAACTTTCTGACTCTGGGTTACTACTAAGAATTTCTTAACGCGAATACCCAAAAACTGGTTTTGTACTTACACGGGCAGGCAATGAAATGTAAGCCGTCCATGGTACAGAAGAAAAATATCTAGTGAGAGATTAATTTTTTAAGGAAGAAAATATGGAAAGGAACGTTCTAATAATAATTTATGTTCTAAAACATTAAAACTACTTTTTTTATTGGACTAAACACTTTCCATCACTTTTTGAGAAAACAAAGTATCTAAATTTTTATAACAATTTCTTTTATTTACTTTTTAATTTAATCGACAAAAGCAAGTCCAACGATATTGCACAGCACAACGAACAAAACATGCCGGTCGGCGGCTCCCCCCTTCAGTGCGATGGCACGAGAGCGACGTCACGTAGGCATCGGGCGGTGGCGCAGCCCGATTTGTGAACGGCGCACTGTGCATTCGACGTTTCGCCCAGCTAACCACGTCGAAATCACTCTTGACCTAAAACATTTATTTTTCATCTCCTCTGCATCACGTACACTAATTATTTGAGATGAATGATGATGGATAGAGGAAATGGTGGTATATGATCAAGTACTGTAGTGAGAGTTGAAAACCTGATTCTGATCACATACCTACGTTAAAGAACTGTTCAATATTTAAATTTCTACAATCATATATATATATATATACTCTTATTGATTATTCTTACATACAATTTTAGTTTCTCGTCATTATTTTTCATCATTAATTTTCCGTCGTCGTGAAAATTAACCTTTACCATACCTTTTCCTAATTCTAAGATCAATTAACCCCAATCATTCATCTCCATAAAATGTTTTACCTAATTTGTTCATAAGTTCTTTATTTTTGAATAGCAACTATATTCTAAGTTACCTAAAGAGCAATGGCAGAAAAATAGTTGACAAAAATTATAGCGTCTAGAAATAAGTTATATATAAAATGAGTTTTATTATTTTTCTATGATTTTTCAAATAAAAATGTATTTTAATTGAAGCCACAGAAAAAACTTACCATAGATAAATATATATGTAGCAAGCTACAGATACGACAGTGACTTTTAGTCAAGTTTCCCAACTATGCCTTTTGGCGCTGCAGTCGCCCAGTTTGACAGATGAGTGATAAAATAAAAAAAAAATATAGCTTAGGGATTGCAAGCACACATCCTTCAAATCATCGATATCGATATTTAGCGATGTTCTTATTTTATCGATATCAACGTAACGACGCATTATATAGTTATATTAAAATATTACTTAATGAAACAATTTTGGTACATAAACATTTATTTTTTATTCAAGCACACCAATATCATATACATACACACGTAATCTTAGGATTAAATTAAAAGTACATTGGGTTATATTAAAAATGTACATAACATTGTATATAGGCAGAATTTGACGAAAACAGAGCAATATTTATTGTTCATTAGATAAAGCAAATAGCAAATTAAAGAAATTAAACCACAGGAATCATATTTAATCATAGTGTAAGTAATATTTTACTTTACAAGTTACTTTTTATATTAATTTTAAAACAGCTACAATTCAAATGGTTATGAATTAAAAGAGTACCTTCCCTGTATAAGATAAAGAACTTTTCGCTAGGGTATGCCAAATTATTATTTGGTCTATATAACATTTGTTTGTTAGGCAAGACAAACATTTTTTCTAAGTTTGTAGTGTTTGGAGCTTTGTTTCATTAGTAGACATCCTATTAATTTTTCATTTAGGGTAAACCTGGCCATTTTTTAAATTGTTTTAATTACATTAATAATAAAGTTATTTGTTTAACATTCAACTTCTCTATATTTTGACAGAGATTGGACAATAAGCAAGCTTTTGTGAGGCTTAGTCACCTAAAGATTCAGTTACAAAATTTCAATATTTTATTATTGCCAATTTTATATACCAATTGTGCCCGTGTAACCTTATTAATATATTGATGAAAGTTTTTTTACAATGAAAGCATGCTTATTATATCCTAGCCAGGAAAAACTCAAAGTGCTCAATATTTTACTTTTAATATTACTTCTGATACAGCTATAATTCAAATACTTATGAATAAAGTGAGTATCATCCCTGTACAAGATAAGTAATTTTTCGGTAGGGTATGCCAAATTATTATTTTTCAACAATTTATGCTCTAGATTTTATGTAAGAGTGAATATTTGTCTCTGTACTGCTGTTTTGATGCAATCCTTACAAGGAATACCTTTCGATATTTTCCGACAAATGTATCCAGCAGTATAAGCTGAGCAGTGGTATTCAATTTTTTCCATGACTACATCACCCACAAGCAATTTTTCTCTTGAAGTTGCTTGTGAAGAGGACAGGAGAGCTAGCAAAACATTAGGAGTGTTTTCAGAGTAATTTTCTTTATTATTATGAACATTTTTGAAAAGACCGCTAACATTTAATAATGTGTCTCCATAATCCTCTTCGCAATTAGAGAATTTCAAATGTGGACTAACCATGTTAGATAATATCAGATATTTAAAGGCATATATAAATATGTTTGCATCTAGGTCAACATTTCTATAATCTATAACTATTATACATTCAAAAATAAATTTCTAAAGGGTCTTGGCTAATATTTTTGTGATAATAATATTCTACATTATACTGTTCAAATAATAATTATCAACAAGTTTACAGTAACAAGTTATCCTTCCTTGTTGGGATGGCCCTCGCACAAGTCGAGGTTTTCCTACTTGGATAGCATGTTTGCTACTATATAGCATGGTGTCTACAAAAATCATTTTTTTTTAATTTTGTTAATAGCTTCAATCCAAAAAGTGTGATGTTGTAAATTTTGTTTAACCACTTGTCTTAACTTTCCTCTTTGCACATCAACCGGGTAGCCATTGACATTGTCAGTGTGTCGAAAAATTCAACAACTTCTGCTGTTGAGGCCATTGTTGCGTCAGAGTTTGCATAATGAAAATAATCTGAGAAAAAAAATATTTTTAATTTAATTACTTTTACAGCTATTGCACCTGCAAGTATTTCACCAAAAGACATTTCCTATTTGCTTACAACAGACTTTGTTAACCTTTATACAATTATAGTGTGGCTCACGGTATCCACTAATGTAATATCAATTATAAATTTAATGTAGTAATAAACAGCACTTGGCAGATACAGGTTGTCTCATTTAATAACGTCATTACATGGCGAACTTGAGAGGCAAGCTGGCCACCGATAGTAATAAACTCATAATAAATATAAGACCTAATAAATACACACATTACCAAAATGAGGAAAATATTACATAGTGCCATAAAAAGTTTTGGGAACAAGTTGTAAATAAATATTTATAAAATAAAGTAAAAAATATAAAATATTGAGGCAAAGAGACAGCTAAGAAGACTTGAGACAAGAAAAGAGGATTCCTTTTTAATAGGATAAGGGTGACAAACGAGCACACAGTCCACCTGATGGAAGGTGGTTGCTGTGGCCCATAGATATTTATATCTATCCTTGATTACTAATCAAAATGCAGATGTGTTGTCACCCGTGAGGACTAAAATGGAATGCCTCATTTCCAGTAAAAAGGGTCTCCTGTTCTCTACACCCACCATACGAAACAACAGCATTAAGCTGCTATTTTACGCTGGTATTCTGTGAAAGCGTGGTCCATTGGTTTAGTTGTAGCACGAATAATATTCGTGCTACAACTATACCACTAATATAGCTGCAGCATGGCTCTACCGCTTAAAAAATTGATGGCAGAGATTACTTTTTTTTACTCAGGTTAACTTTCAAAAAGAAGGTGACAGGCATCATGATAAACTCTCACAAATTTTAAGTGATATAAACAAAAGTTGTACTTTAACCTTTACTTTTCTTATTCGTCTTTGCCTTCTATCATTATCTCTGTCTACGTCTATAATGTGTGGTACTTATATATTACTTTCACAAACATGTATATTGTATTTCTTTACCTGACTTGTTTTGTGTGGTGTACAGTTTAGCTTAGTATCTACTTAA